AGAAATTAATTTAGGGCTCTTCGTGTAAATTCTATAACTTTGCAAAGAAAGGTCATGTAGAGTTGGGAGAGGTCTCATTTTAATCAGAAATGTGCGGGCTACAATCATGCCTCATTAAGAACGGTTCAGGTTATTTTTTAGGGTTTCTGAAAAACTCGTTTTCTAGAAAACCAGGTCTTCGAAGGACTATGCGGAAGCCGCATGGTCGTATTCGTAATCAGTATGGTCGATAACCTATAACCCACTAGATTTCGAGCAAAAAGCGTTTAATCACTTCGTGGGGTTCCCTCGTCAGAAGAAAAGTTTAACAATAATTTTACTATAACGTCGAGAATATGATGTATCATAAGCACTAGAAAAATGATCATACAAATTATTATCTGTTCAAAACAACAGCACCATCGCCATCATCTCACTGTCAAAAAGAATTTGAATTTTGTTTTCTTCAAAAATTGACTTACTGAAAAATCGCTGGAAAACCGTTTTATAACTGGAAAGGCTAAGGTGGTAATATGTTGTTTTTTTTCATGAGTAAATAGCGCAGAGTGTCCTCTTCAACACGGGAGTCAAACGAGACTTTGATATTCAGTGATTCGGACGGGAGGGAAGGAGAGAATTTCTAGGAGAATCAGAACTAGCACTCGGTGGCTTGGAGTAACCGTGAAAACGCAAGAGACATGCGTAATCGGCAAAAATCAGAAACCTAATGACAGATCCTTGTAGTGTTAGAAAAATAGCTTCTGATGAGACAATTGACCTGTAACAAAGTTCTTATTACGATTGTTGGTTTTGCAGCACGAAATTGTCAATGATAATATAGTTTTCTATAGATAAGATTCAAAACAGGTGGATAATATCCGTTTAAGATTTGATCCGATAATTGATTCAACTATGAATATTTCATCAACAACAACATCTTTAATACCCACGGAACTTCAATGGCGTCTATCTATTCTCGTCATATTGCTTACGGTATTGTGTATTGTGACAATATTCGGTACTGTACTAGTTATGTGTGCTGTTTACTTTGAAAAATCTTTACATTCTTCAACCCATTATTATGTCGCATCTCTTGCCTTTGCCGATCTATTTGTTGGTCTCATCGTTATACCATCGGGAATTATTGTCGAAATGACGAGAGGCATTTGGCCATTTAATAAAATTTTTTGTGATATTAAATTATCTATCGACGTATTTGCCTCAACAGCATCCATTTTGGGTCTGTGTGCAATAGCACTCGATCGTTATTATGCAATTATTAATCCAATGTCATATCCAAATTCATTTGTAACAAAAAAATGGTACTATGTAGTTATTTGTCTTTGGACATGTGCAGCAATTTTGTCATTTCCAACCGTGGTTTATTGGAGAAAAACTTCTGAATGGAAAGCACTAGCTAGAAGTAAGTATTAAATCTGAGACGATTAAATATTGATTTTATCATATTCTTTTCTGTAATAGAACGAATAAATTCGACAAATAAAATTCAACCAACATTGTATCGCTGTGAGTTTCCTGATGATCCATACTACATTTTATTTTCATCCATCGTCGTATTTTATCTACCATTGAGCATTATGCTATTTGTTTATGTTCGAATATTCTATGTTGCTCGACGACAATTACGTTCGTTTCGTACTGGTGTATTAAAACCTGAACGACATAATCTAACATCAATTATACCAAAATTTCAATTAAATCATAGGATATCTATCACAGCAAACCGACCATCTCGTATTGAATCACCAATTTCACTAGTGACAGCTAGTCCACTTCGTGTTCATGTTGGCAAATATCGAGCATCGATTCAACATGATACCATTTCAATTTCATCCAATTCACTCTCAAACAATCATTCGCTCTTTTTACATTCATTATCAAAAAAAGTTTTTAAATATGCTGCAGATCGAAGAGTGGCAAAAATGTTAACTTTAATTGTTGGTGCATTTATTCTCTGTTGGCTACCATTCTTTTCCTATTTTCTTCTAAGTGGTTTCTTTTTTCTTCATTTAAAAATGGATCATCCTCGACGTCATGAATTATTACTACGGATATTTTCATGGCTTGGTTATACAAATTCAGCATTGGATTTTTTTGTTTATGCGTTAACATCAAAAGAGTTTCGACACGCATTTATCAAATTATTGTTTAGAAAGAAAATGAACACACAAATAAATGGATCGTCTAGATAAAGGAGAAATATCTAAATTAAGTAAAAGATTGGTGAAGGTGCAATTCTTCTTAAAATGATCCTATAGAGTGAACTTCTCCTCTAACGTTTTAGAAACGTGAAAGACGATTTTCTAAGAAATTCGCGTAGAAGAGAAGATATTTTTTTGTCCATTTTTAGTGATAGTTCAGAAATATACTGTACAAAAAAGTGTAAACATGTGACACAAAAAGTAAACGCCATTGTGCCCTCCAGCGACAGTCTCGAACGTATAGTCTCCGTGCCGAAAGCATACCCTTCTTTTTGTATACGAAGCCATGTGATAGAGCTGAACAGTCAAAATATTTTCTGCTATTTTTTTCTGCTAAAACAGATGAAAATTTGATGTTTTGTTGTTCAAACGTGATGTATAAAAGCGTTTTATTTTTTAGCGCTTATTTTGCCTAAAAGCTATATATGTTTTAGATAACCTTGGTCATGATTTTCAAATTATTTTTTATTTGGAGCTATAGTTTTCAAGAAGAATGGAAAAAATAAAAAAATGTAACATTGAAAAATAGATACACTACATTTAATATCTTTGTCGTCGATAAGAGCGGAATCTGTATTAATACCGAGTGGTCCAGGGAAAATGGCGGCGTCATTATTTTGACTATAACTTTTTTTCTTTTCAACCCTTAGACCTGATTATTTCTCCAAAAGATGCGCCGTCAAATTCTCTACAAAACTTGATCAGACTGAATTCTAAAGAAAGTTAAGGAGAAAAATTAAACGAAGAATACTGAACACGTAGGAACGGACCAACTTTCTAAACTATTTTGATTTACAAATTTTCGAGTATTTTAAACAACTCTAAAGACAAAGAACCAGAAGTGAAAATGTTTTTGAGTACTTTCAGGTGCGCTCTTTCTCGTCATGCAGTTCAAAGTTCGTTCGAATCAAAATGAAAAAACTAATATTCCAAAATTTATTTCAAAATGACCAAAATCTGTTTTCTTTTTCGCCAGCTGAGTTTAAGAAGAAAACTTTAAGGTAAACTTTCGCCGCTGAGTCTGGTACAAGAGTGATTTCTCGTCAAAACTGAAAAAAACCCAAGCTCAAAAGTCGCTATTTTGGCTTCGTTATGTGACATTTTCCAGGACCGAAACTACAGAATCAAATAGCAGAATTTTCGAAAGTCTCATATAAGAGAAAATCGATGCAAGTCTCAAAGATTGATTTAGCATTTGTTCCCATAATACTGGTTGATAGAATTTTTCAGGGGCTATAAGATGCGTACGATGCTTTCTCCATCAGTCACTCCCTTTTTTTCCTGGTGTATCCTAAAAGCGGTGTTCCTTTGACTTTGATTATGCTTTACAGCTAGCTAAATGTCATCTTTCGCATTGTGATTTTTCTTTACTATCAAGTATTGTAAAGGATTGGAACTTCTATCCTGTGTTACATGGTTGTCTTTCAGAGTGGAACGCATGCACTAACACTAATTTAAGGCCTTCTATCGCAAATTTTCATGTACTCTTATTTAATGTACGTGGGGTGGTGGTACGATGGGAAAAGGTTTCACTCTTATTCGAAACGGCTAAGTCAGATTTTTTGATTTTACTTGAAGTTGGGGCTGTTGATCTCGCCTTTATCGCCCAGATATTTGCCGGTTTTTGTTTTTTTGTATCAGGTTGGTGAGAATAGTTGAGGAGGAGTTTTGTTAGTTTTTCACCGCGGACTCCAATGTTCCAGAGTACCGTGCAACGTTCCTAATGTATGTGTGGTGGACATAAAATTAGAACATATCATTCGCATAGTGGGTGTTTATGTTCCCAAAAGTAAAACATGGCTATGGGATGATCCTTCTCTTTAGGTATCCTCGGCTTGCGTTTTTTTTGGGAGATTACAATATTGATTTCGAGGATCCGAAAGATAAGTCAGAAGCAAGCTGAAGAACTTTTAGACTGGGCTGATAATATTCGGTTATATCCGGTTCGTACGAATAAATCTATCTCCCTGCGCTCGGATCGTTCAATTGATTTTGCATTAGTTTCTGGACTACCTTTAGTCCTTTAGTGTTTGGGTTTTACTACCTCACGCGATCATAAACCAGTCTGCAGAGTCATTAGTTGTGAGCGGAAAGAGATAGCGGTTGGTAGCAATATTCACTGGGGTGTTTTTCATTATTTTCTATCTTTTGTTGGTGAGTTTTGGTCTAGCCAATTCAAGTATTCGTCTGCGGAAGAAAGCTACTTTAACTTCGTTTACTTTCTTCCTGCTCTGAAAATTCGTTGTACCTTTTATTTCCTCCTAGAAAAATATAGTCTCTATTCCCAAAGAACTTAGTATGAAGTTCTCTTATGCCCGGGCGTTATCGTGGAATGCTAAACGCAACAGTGATATGCTTTTGAAAGTTAGAGTTAAAGAACTACGTAAGGAAAACAGAGAAAGTCTTCACAGTTATGTAGACTCGCGATTGTTCAGTCGATGGATGTGCGTTTTACAAGCTCCAGAAATTCACTTGATTTCTTGAGAGAATTTGATCGATTTCAACACGAAGACAGAAATTGATGCTAAAATCAATACGATATTCAGAATCTGCGTCAAAAATGGAGGTAAACAAAGTGTATTGTACATGTTTTCCTAAACTTCAATTTCCGATCTAAAAATTCGCCTTTGGTCCCCCTCAAGAAAATGGAAAAATATTTCTTCGTGCTTTCTTTTGTACCTTAGCATGTAAATAGTGAAATTATATTAATCTAAGTGGAAGTCAGGACTTACAGCATGTCCTGTCTAAAGTTTTTTCGACAGTAAGATATTGACACAATCTTAGAAAATCCAATTCAGTTCTCAAAAAACTATAGTAACAATAGAGTGTTTCTATGTGTAGCAGTTAGTCTCAAGTATGTTCTTCAAAAATGAAGTCAAGGAAGATTTTGTGTTTCAGCGATTCAGTTATTTACGCTTCGAATGTTTCAACATGATGTTGAATATCTTTGCCAAAATAAAGGGAATATAATTCGCTCGTCAAGGCTATCGAGTGTGGCTACATATGATGCACCGTGACATAAGAGATACGATGAGACGCAATTGACTTAGCCTCATACATTTTGGCTTTTGCAAACATAGCGTTTGAAAAAAGGAATGGACGTACACAAGTTAGCTAGCATAGTTGTAATGCACCATCACTGTCACACAGTGGACAAGAAGTTCTCATATACGTTTTGATTAGTGATTCATATTAATCTTGTGCTTTTGTCTTGCGATATCCCAATTTTATATCATTTGTCGATGAAAACAGTAAGCTGAAAAACACCTCTGTACTACGCCATTATCTCTGAAAAAAACAACAATGACACAACCATAGCTAAGATTATTATAAAAATGTAAATAATGGACAAACGTATACGTAACTTCATTTACTTCATGTTCTGTTCCATGTTTTCTTAAAAAATGAATATTTTTCTGAAGCCCCGTCATTTTTTTACTTTAGGTGTCATCGACAAAAAAGCTTATCTGTAACTAAAACTTGTACACATCCCTTTCTCACTTTGTAATTCGATTTTCTTTTTTCATTAGACTATGTGAAAAAAGCATGTGAAAAAACACATCGCATAACGATTCACATAGATGAACATTTTTTTGTTTGTAGCAGTCAAAAATAAACGATAATCAGACTATTATCCATTGATTGATTAAATGCCAACGATTGTTATTAACAATACTATTTAATTTTTTTTAAAAAAATAATACAACCATTTCAGTTATTATGTATCATGTTATAGACGTGAGAACACAGACTTTTGTCGGTGTCACATCACTTATGCGACGTTCATGTACAACAGATTCTGTTTCCTTAGATAGAAATGTTGCTGCTGTTCGTGTTCTCGTCATGTCATCATTACCTTTAATTGCATCTGTTGTGCTTTGACCAGCATCAGGTTCTGTTCTAACACTGATTATTTTTGTTGGAGAACGTTGATGTCCGACAGTGTGTACAACACGTGTGCGATATGTCCAATTATTCCAACACACATCAAGTTTACAATAAATAAAAATTATCATAAAAATAAAACAGATACTTCCCACCCCAATAATGCTAATTCCGATATATAGCGTTTCTTTTTTTTCTGAAACTACGCTAATAATGATTAAAATAATTCCGACAATAACCGTTATACAACCGATAATAACAAAACATCGTCCGATTGTTTGAAACATTGTTCGATCAGCAAGTCCCATTGCTGTGACGCCTCGTGAACGACCGCTAGCAAATAACATTGTGTAAGTGAAATAGAAAATATCAACCGTTTATTTAATCTTTTTTATTTTATATTCAAATAGACATGGTGTCATTTCCTTTTGGTAATAATCTAAATACATGAAAAACGGAAGTTATACTTTGCACAGTTACTTTTAGATTAAAGATGATTTCTTGCATTGTTTTCAATGATGGCCCATAAAGAATTGCGCTGTTAGTATTTTCAAAATTTTTCCTTCTCCTTACATTTGATTGAGCTAGTTTTTTTTACCAAAAGATTCCCAGGTAAATTCTCTACAAAAAAATGTACGGAGTGTTGTATTGCAAAATCCGAAGGTGCCATGAGAAAATGTGAGAAGCGCAAAAATGTAGAAAAAATAAACGTAGTTACAGTTTCTTTTAGTATTATCTGCTAAAAGTTTGAGAGAGAGAAAAGCTAAAATGGCCTCCGTGTATGCCTCGGAAAGCTCTATTTTCCATCTATAATTTAAATAATTTTCAGTTAGAATTGAGGACGCAAGAATTTCATCATTTTTTGCCAATAATTTCAGCCTTCCAATACAACAAATAAAGCTTAGTCAAACTTGATCCATTCAGGTTGATTTTTTTAATTTTGAAAAAAAGAAATGATTAGTCGTTATGATCGAATCTCTAAGATTTGAAAAACATATTTGGTTTGTTTCACCGCGCAAAAAAAAGATAACTTTGCTATTTTCACTTGACTGCTGAGAAGTTAATCTTTGTGTCGGATATTTAGATTCAAACGATTTTAGCCTCTACACGACGAGAAAGAGCGTATTTGAAACTACACAAAAATATACTGAAACCTTGTTTTAATGCTTGTGAAACCATTCAAAAAAAATTCCACTCTCTTTGAGAAAATACGTTTATTTTTTCTACATTTTTGTACTTCTCATGGCATTTTGCACCTTCGGATTTTGCAATAAAATAGTACATACATTTTTTGTCGAGAATTCAACAGGGAATCTTTTAGTTAAAAAAACTATAGTAAGAAATACAAAACTGCTACAAACATGATTCATACAAATCACAGTGCTATTATTTTGATTTATTATTGATATTTCGACGATGTTCACTCGTCATCATCAGAATAAACGAATGACGCCAGATTTGATTCAATAAGAGTACAAAAAAGAAAAAGAACAGAAAATTAGACAATTAAGTAGATGTCTTTTTATCCATAGTCTGATGATGACGAGTAGAGATGTGCAACCCGACCCGTACCCGACCCGTACCCGTACCCGACCCGACCCGAAGGTTGGGTACGGGTACGAAGTTGTCGGGTACGGATCGGGTACGGGTTCTATTTTTTTTAACTTACCCGAAAACCGGAAGGCTCGAGTGGAAAACTCTCAAAAGTTTAGTGAAAAAATACAGGAATTCAGCTAACATACATTAAGGTTTAAAAAAGAATTACTTGAGAACGTAATGATAATTTGACATGTTCAGCCGAAAAACAAAAGTTTTTAGCTGGAAAAGAAAAGGGAGAAATCTCTTAGGTATAAGTCGATTACGGGTCAGGTACGGGTCGGGTAGCGGTACACAGTTGTCGGGTCGGGTACGGGTGGAAAAAAAATTTTCGGATCGGGTACGGGTACGAAAATGGTACCCGTGCACATCTCTAATGGGGTTCTACATCGTTGGTTCCCCTGCGGACCTCATATCTGTCAGAAAATCGATCAACTTTGAACAATAGTTCCGTAAGCCCATTCCGAGGTGTTTTTCGTAATTTTCTCAGAACACAATAAGTTTGAAGGAAAGTCTTATATACCATTCGATGTAGCTCTAAACGGCGAATAAAACTGTTTATTGCTCAATTGTTATGTACACTGCGAACACCCACGTTTTTGCCATATTACTGTTAAAAATGACCTTGTCAGCATAGCCAACGATAGTATTTCAGCTTTTTCATGGGGAAAGAACTCAGGTTGCGGTCTACATTGTATATCGAAAGAAAGCTCTTTCAAAACTTTACAAAACAGTGGGTAACTCATTTCTAGTTGGAAGTGCGAACACTCGCTTTTTGGGATATTACTACTGAAGAGTGATGTTTTCAAGCATAGGGACGGATAATGTTTCTGTGTTTTTACCATGAAAGAGCTTAGGTTGCGGTCTACATTATATATCAAAAGAAAGCTCTTTCAAAACTCTAAAAAATGCTATGTAATTCCTTTCTAATCAATACTGCGAACACCGACGTTTTGGGATATTACTGTTAAAAGGCGGTCTTTTCAGCATACCCAACGATAGTATTTCTATTGTTTTCACCATGAGAGAACCTAGGTTGCGGTTTGTATTAAATATCAAAAGAAAGCTCTTTCAAAACTCTACAAAACGGTGGGTAATTTATTTCTCGTTGGAAGTGTGAATACTCACTTTTTTAGATATTACTACTGACGATCGATGTTTTTAAGCATAGAGACGGATAATGTTTCTATGTTTTTACCATGAAAGAACTTAGGTTGCGGTCTATATTGTATATCAAAAGAAAGCTTTTTTAAAAATCTACAAAATGGCTGGTAATTCATTTCTAGTTACAAGCGCGAACGCTCAGGTTTTCGGATATTACTACCGCAGAGTGATGTTTTCGGCATCGGTGGATAGCGTCGATTCATATAAAAGCTACCACCATTTACATCGACCTTTGACGTCAGTGGCGAGACCTGTCTCATACTATAGAACTCAGCAAGCTGAACCGAATGGTGAAAACCACAAGTCTCTAGCCTTGTTAGAAAAAACGTTATAGCCGTTCTACCCTCTCAGCGGAAAAATGCATTTTCTGGAGGATTGGCCTCACTTGTAGAACGTATGCTGACCACATTTCCTAACGTGAATCATTGAACTTGGTATCCAATGAAAGAGCGCGTCGAGTTCTATACATTTCGATGAAGAAACGTTATGCTAAGCCTCGGGATCTTGAGACAGAAATTTCTGAAAAACTCGGTTTTCTAGAAAACCTAGTGACCTTCAAATTTCTTTCAGAAGTTTTTCAACCGTATCATTAGATAGTCCCTTAAAATCTCCACAAAACGAGACGTTGACCACGTTTCTTCGATCTCGAACGACAGAGTTACAGGCTGTTTAACATTACGAATATAACTTGCTTTATTTTGCTTTAATGCCGAAGTTTCGGCCTGCACCGCATTTTTTCTGGCATTGTGGCACATCATCATAGAAACGTGGTCAACATCTCATTTTGTGGAGATTTGAAGGGACTATCTAATGATACGGTTGAAAAACTTCTGAAAGAAATTTGAAGGTCACTAGGTTTTCTAGAAAACCGAATTTTTCAGAGTGTTCGCACTTCCAACTAGAAATGAGTTACCCACCGTTTTGTAAAGTTTTGAAAGAGCTTTCTTTCGATATACAATGTAGACCGCAACCTGAGTTCTTTCCCCATGAAAAAGCTGAAATACTATCGTTGGCTATGCTGACAAGGTCATTTTTAACAGTAATATGGCAAAAACGTGGGTGTTCGCAGTGTACATAACAATTGAGCAATAAACAGTTTTATTCGCCGTTTAGAGCTACATCGAATGGTATATAAGACTTTCCTTCAAACTTATTGTGTTCTGAGAAAATTACGAAAAACACCTCGGAATGGGCTTACGGAACTATTGTTCAAAGTTGATCGATTTTCTGACAGATATGAGGTCCGAAGGGGAACCAACGATGTAGAACCCCATAAAATTGTATGCTCTTTTATTCTAGATACCTTTCGAGAAGATCTGAAATGGGGCCGATCCTCGTTCTTATTGCACCCCGTCCTTTCTGAAAAGACAAGAAAAACACTAGATTCTACAAATGCTGCTACAAACCTGTTTGTGAGATTACGCGTTACGATAATTTAAACTCGTGTTTCATGTGCACGAGTAACTGCTTGATTTTTAAATTTACATGATCTTTTATCTAAAAATAATTCGAAGACATTGAAAAAAAACGTCTATAAAGTCATTTTTTACGTAATATTAATACCTATTCTAATAATGTATTTCCACCGAACGGGGCTTTCTAACAAAAAGCTATCATTTTAGGATATAATATTAAAAAAAAATTTTTAAAATTACTAGTGCTGTTAATTTGAAATACAAATATTACAAGTAGCACATTATCGAAGTAGAGTGTCTAATTTTATAGAGAGCACGAGCCTTTACACAGGGATATCATACGAATAGTTTTCACAAAATTGCAAAGAGATGTCGTCAGAAGCATAAGTCCTTAACACTCTAAAAGAAAATGCAACTTAGGATCAAATTAAATCGCATTAATGTGTCCTATTTTCACTGAATAAGGTACATTAATGAGGCCTAAATTTGATCCTAAGTCGCAATTTTTTTTAGAGTGAATGGTTTTGGAAAATTACAAATATCCGATGCGTGAATATAAGCTCAAATATCATTCAATATCAATTAATTCTTTTTTGTCGTGCTTTAATAAAGGTTTTAAAAGTAGAACAAAAACAGAATCAGAAAATTTTTTGTTTCAAACCTCGACACCAACAGGTCATGTAGTACTCCACATGTTCCTGGTGCCTCAAAACACTTAGTGCAGATCCGCCAAGGAATTTTCAGTTTATAGAAAATCAAAAAGGACTTTCTACTTTCTTGAAAATTATTTATGGAAATTCAACGGCGATTTTCTAACAAACTGGAAAATCAAGGAGGATTTCTAGATTGTTGGAAATTCGATTTTCTATAAACTAGAAAATCCTCAGGGAATTCCCATATGTACTCTTTGAACATCGCCGAACATTTTCCATAAATAACTTCCAACCTTACAGTGTACACATGCAACACTAGCCACAAAGCAGAGTATTTTTTCTACTTGTTCCGTTTGTAAGAGATTTTCTATGTGCTTTGCTTTACCTTCACTGCATATTAGATGCTCGCCTTATTTTTGTCTGCATAAATGCCTTTATTAACAACTGTTCTTCTTGAGAAACAAGAAGCTATTTTCAATTAGGATTATCCTTGTATTTCATGATAGCCAACGCTACCTT